GAAAGAAAAACAAAATTATCCATGTATGCAAATTATTGATCAAGAAGGGATTTTTGCAGATGAAAACCAAAAAGATAGAATCACATTTGAAGAGTTTATTCAAGAAAATACAAAATTTAAAGAATTAGGATTTAATTATAATATGTTAAGCATTCTTGGACCACAAAATAGTGGAAAATCAACATTATTAAATTATTTATTTGATACAGACTTTGCAGTATTAAATGAAAAGAATGGAAGACAAAGAACAACAAGAGGAGTTTGGTTAGGACTAGTTGGAGATAGAAAAGATATTATAATTATGGATTTGGAAGGGTCAGATGGATCAATAAGAGAAGATGATTTATCATTTGAAAGAAAAATATCATTATTTAGTTTATCAGTTTGTAGTGTTTTAATGGTTAATATATGGTCACATGATGTTGGTAGATATGGAGCATCAAATATGTCATTATTAAAGAATATATTTGAACTTAATTTACAACTCTTTCAAAAAGAAGATTCACCTAAAACATTAATTCTTTTTGTTATTCGTGATAGAGATCAAAGAAAACCATTTGAAAACACTAAAAGTGTATTATTAGAAGATATTATGAAAATTTGGGAAAGTGTTGCACGACCAGAATGTTTTAAACGTGCACCTATTGATAAATTTTTTGATTTAGAATTTACGTCATTACCTCATTTTAAACATGACAAAGAATTATTTATTCAAGAAGCAAAAGAATTAAAAAAAAGATTTGATTGTAAAAACCAAAATACTTATTTTAGACCAATTTATAATAAAGAAATTCCAGCAGATGGATTGGCATTATTTACAAAACAAGTATGGAGTGCAATTAAATCTAATAAAGATCTTGACCTTCCAAGTCAAAAAGAAATGTTAGCACGATTTAGATGTGATGAGTTGATTGAAAATATTTTTAATGAATTTGAAAAAGAAATAGAAGAAATTAAAATACAACATTCTGAAAAACATATTTTTAATAATTTTAAGATATTTTGTGATTGTTTATATGATAAAAAAATGAAAGAATTTATGAATGTTGCATCTAAATATCTCGATAGAGTTGTTAAAGAAAAAGCTGATCTTCTTAGTGAAAAAATGTTAAATGAAATATCATATTTGTTTCAAACTCAAATGACCCTTGCTATTAACTATATTAAAACAATGCTTACTACAAGTTATTTCACTTTAAAAAATCAATATATCACAGAACAATCTTCTCTTTTTGACCCAACAAAATATGCTGGATATGCAGAACAAATGGATGATTTTAATAGTACAATTAAAAATGAATGGGAAAAAATATCAACTCAAAGCGTTCCTTCTAATATTGAAAATAATTTTGAAATAGAAATTAATACATTAGATCGATTTATTAATAAATTATATGAAATTGGAAGAAGAGACCTTATTGAAGCTTTAATGACTCATTTTAAAAAGCATTTACAAAACATTATGAAACCACTTCTTCTTCCTTTATTTGAACAATCAAACCAAAACATGTGGGAACAAGTTAGAAAAGTTGTTATTGAAACTACAAGTCAAAACCTTCAAGAATTAGAAAATGGAATGATTAATTCATTAAAAATGAATAAAGATGATGTTGAAAAAAAATTAAATGAACTTCAAGTTTATATTATTGATGCTGTAAGATCTACAATATTAGAAAGACCAGGATTTGTTAGTAATTTAATGGAAAATAAATTTATTTCTATCTTTAGATTAGACGATGAAGGTTTACCAAAAAAATGGAAACAAAATGAAGATCTTAGTAAACCATTCTTTAAAGCTAAAGAAGAAGCTGAAAAAATTCTTGACTTATTTTCTTATATTAGAATGGATCCTAAAGATGATGAATTATCTTTTATTTCTATTAACCCTGCAACTGGTAAAAAAATGATTATTGAAGAACCAGAAAATGGAACTATTGATCAAACTAAAGTTCTTTTTTCTTTAAGTGAAAGACTTAGTATTTATGAAGGATTTCAAAATATGGCTGAATCTAATTTTATGAGAGCACAACAAGAACTTGCTGCTATTACTGTTCATTCAAAAACTCCAATGTGGTTAATTCTTCTAATTGCATTCTTATCATTTGATAATATAGTATATGTATTCAAATCTCCTACATTACTTGCATTAACTTTAATTATTATTGGTATTATTTATTCATTAAATAAAATAGGTTATGCTTATTTGATTGACTCTGTTATTTCTTACATTCTTAGTATTTCTTGGTCAAGTGTCCTTTATCTAATTCAAGACCTTGGATTATTTAAAAATCTCTTACCTAAACCTGAAGCTCCAAAAAGAAAAAGACCTCAAAAGAAAACTCAAGATGATAAACCTAAATCATCTATTCTTTTAACTCATAAAAAACAACCTTCTGTTATGGGTGATGTTACAATGGATAACATTGACTCATTAAATTCTTTCGATGATGCATTTAAATTAGTCAGTCAAGATGAAAAACCTGTTAGAAAACCTTTCCGTCCATTACCTAATAGAGAAACTCAATCAATGAAAGTTATGCCTATGTCAGCTTCATTTACTAAGTCTCAATCAATGTTCATCAAACGAAATCCTACTACTGCTTCTTCTCTTAATAAAATAAAAGAAGCAAATGAGTTTTGATTTATTTTTTCTTAATTTGAATCAATTTTTCAATCATTTTAAA